TTAGGGCGGCGGCGGCAGCGTCGTCGGGTGTCAGCAGCCAGCGACTAAGGCGAATGCTCAGACAGTGCTAGGCAGCTTGGCAACCCGGCTGGCTGGTGTTGCTGCCTGCACGAGAGCAGCCCGCTCCCCAGCACCGCCGATGGCAAACCCGACTCCAGTCAGAGCCCTAGCACCTTGGACCAGATCACAGGGCACGCCAGGGTCAGAGGGGCTGCAACCCTTGGACACAGCACACACACCAGCCTCCCCATACCCCTCCTGGACAAGGCCGTTACCTGGTCCTGGGGCATGCACAGCCATTGGAGGCCAAGGGAGATTAAAATCCAGGTTCTGCCACTGTTCTAAGCACCTTACTGATGATGTTTAATTCCACAACAACCCCATGAGGTAGGCGCTATTACCATTCTTTCTTTCTTTCTTTCTTTCTTTCTTTTTTTAATTGAGACGGAGCCTCGCTCTGTCGCCCAGGCTGGAGTGCAGTGGCACCATTTCGGCTCACTGCAACCTCAGCCTGCTGGGTTCAAGCGATTCTCCTGCCTCAGCCTCCTGAGTAGCTGGGACTATGGGCGTGCGCCACCACACCAGCTAGTTTTTATATTTTTGGTAGAGACGGGGTTTCACCATGTTGGCCAGGCTGGTCTCGAACTTCTGACTTCAAGTGATCCGACCGCCTTGGCCTCCCAAAGTGCTGGGATTACAGGCAGTGAACCACCACCCCGGCTATGGGCGTTATTATTATCCCTGTCACAGATAAAGAAATAAGACCCAATGTCACAAAGCTAGGAGAGGTGGAATTGAAATCCAGCCTGGCTCCAGATTCTGCTCTTAACCACCGCAGTCTGCTGGCAACAATACAGAAGAGTTGCCAGGTTTAAATAATATCATACATACAAAGCACTTAGCTTAACACAATGGTTCTCAAACTTTAGCTTGCATCAGAATCACCTGGATAACTTCTTAAACCAGAGGTGCTGGGCTCCATCCCTAGAATTTTAGATTCAGTGGTCTGGGGAAGGGTGGGATTTTGCATTCCTAAGAAGTTTCTAGGTGATGGTGATGCTTGTTTGAAGTGGATAGCCATAGAACAGTTTTAGGCAGGGGAGCAATATAATCCAATTTATGTTTTAAGAGAACCTTTACTTTTTTTGTGGATAATGGGTTGAAAGGAGACAGAGGAAGCCAGAAGACCAGTTAGATTTTTTTGAGCTTTCCATATTCCATCTGCTTCCTGAATGGTGGGGTAATATCCCCCAAAATGAAATGTTAACAGTACTTGTCTTAGGAGTTAAAGAAATAGATGATCTTTCCTAGTAAGTATGTATAAGAATAGAAGAAAAACTAACACATTTTATTAGCATTTAAAAAAGATATCCCAGCTGGTCACCGTGACTCACGCCTGTAATCCCAGCAGTTTGGGAGGCCGAGGTGGGCTGGTCAGTTGAGGTCAGGAGTTTGAGACCAGCCTGCCCAAACCCGTCTCTACTAAAAATACAAAAGTTAGCTGGGTGTGATGATGGGCGCCTGTAATCCTAGCTACTCAGAAGGCTGAGGCAGGAGAATCACTTGAACCCGGGAGGCAGAAGTTGCAGTTGAGATCGCACCACTGCACTCCAGCCTGGGTGATAGAGCAAGACTCTGTCTCAAAAAAAATAATAATAATAATAAAATAATTAAAAGATATCCCTTAGGGTTCCTTCCTGACCCTCCTTTCTCCTCAAACTGACTCTTCCTGGAAGATCTCATTCTCTCATGACCTCTGTTACCAGTCTAGATGCCCAAACTGATATTGGCAGTTCTAACCTCTTTCCTGAGCTACAGGCTGCCTGATGTCCAGCAGGACATCTCACAGGCCCCTCTAATGCAACAGCACAACTTCTGGAATCATTTCCTTTCACTCCTATATCTCTTGTGGGTTCCCCTCCTCAGTGAACTGCACCAGGCCAAACAGCTGGGAGTCACCCTTGACTCCTTGTCTGTCTCCAGCGACCAGTCCAAGTATGTTTTGCTCACCATTGTATTCTCTACACCATGCACAAAGACTGACACATAGTAAGCTCTCCACAACATTTGTTGAAATCATGCATTTGTATTTTTTAACAAATTTTTATTGAATGCCACTATAAATGAATGTAACCAGTCACCTAGTCCTGTCAGTCTTACCTCCTAAAGAGCCTTCCATTCTAGTCTAATTATTCTTCAGCCTCACAATCAGCCCCTGGTGTAGGCCATTTCAGTTTCTTGCTTTCCAACCAGTCTCCTTGACTCTAGATTTTTACTCCTCCTATCCTTTTCTCCTTGCAAAATCCACAGTGATTTTTTTAAAGGCAAATGTTGCCAGGTTCGGTGGCTCATGACCGTAATCCCAGCACTTTGGGAGGCCAAGGCAGGTGGATCACCTGAGGTGAGGAGTTCGAAACCTGCCTGCCCAACATGGTGAAACCCCGTCTCTACTAAAATTACAAGAATTAGCTGGGTGTTGTGGCAGGCTCCTGTAATTCCGTAATTCCAGCTACTCAGGAGGCTGAGGCAGGAGAATGGCTTGAACCTGGGAGGCAGAGGTTGCAGTGAGCCAAGATGGTACCACTGCACTCCAGCCTGGGCGACAGAGCCGGACTCTGTCTCAAAAAAAAAAAAAAAAAAGACAAAGGTTTTTTCTATCTCTAACTTAAAACCTTTCCATGGATCAAAAAGTACCAAGGAAAATGATGTTACTTAAAATTATAAAGGTATGCCAGGCATGGTAGCTCATGCCTGTAATCCCAGCACTTTGGGAGGCTGAGGTGGGAGAATTGCTTGAGGCCAGGAGTTGAAGACCAGGCTGGCAACATAGCGAGACTCTATCTACATAATTAAAAAAAAAATTAATTACAAAGGTAACCATTAGATGAACTAAAAAGAGTGATAGAAATATGTAGTGCCAAGCCGGGCGCAGTGGCTCACGCTTGTAATCCCAGCACTTTGGGAAGCCGAGGCAGGCAGATCACGAGGTCAAGAGTTCAAGACTAGCCTGACCAACATGGTGAAACTCCCCATCTCTGCTAAAAATACAAAAATTAGTTGGGCATGGTGGCACATGCCTGTAATCCCAGCTACTCAGGAGGCTGAAGCAGGAGAATCGCTTGAACCCGGGAGGGGAGGTTGCAGTGAGTCAAGATTGTGCCACTGCACCCCAGCCTGGGTGACCAAAAAAAAAAAAAAAAAAGAGAGAGAAATAAATAGTGCCAGTAGGGGAAACGAACTACAGAGTGTGAGTTAAACCCATATATCCATATTTATCTGAATATGATAATAAACAGCAGTTGAATGTTTAAAATTGAGAAGCAGTGTGGCTGGGCATGGTGGCATACTCCTGTAGTCACAGTTGCTTGGCAGGCAGGAGGATTGCTTGAGCCCAGGAGTTTGAGTCCAGCCTGGGCAACACAGGAAGACTCTGTCTCTAAGAAAGAAAAAAAAAAAAAGTAGTGGTAGGATTTACAATAAGAAAATATTTACTCCTACCCTACCCTTTCACACCTCTAGGGCCACTCCCAGTTGGCAACCACTTTTAGTTAACTCTAAACAATAACATTACGGGTATGAACACCAAAAAAAACAAAAAACAAAAAACAAAAAACCCCCAAAAAACTAAAAGTTACTTTTTGCCATTTGGGAGTGGGCCTAGAGGTGTGAAAGGGTAGGGCAGGGGTAACTATCTTCTCATTGTAAATCCTTCTGCAACCACGGGCTGGAATCACTTGAATTAAAACCCTACACAAACCAAAGTTTTCATGACTGTTCATTACCTGTTAAATAAAACCCAAACATCTCAGAACCATCTTCTGTAACCTTGTTATCAAAGTGTGGTCCCTTATTACTTGAAGCGTGGACCAGCAGCATGGCCATCACCTGGGAGCTTATTAGAAATGCAGGATCTTGGCGGGGCCCAGTGGCTCACACCTGTAATCCCAGTACTTTGGGAGGCCGAGACAGGCAGATCACTTGAGGTCTGGAGTTCAAGACCAGCCTGGCCAACATGGTGAAACCCCGTCTCTACTAAAAATACAAAAATATTAGCTGGGCGTGGCGGTGCATGCCTGTAATCCCAGCTACTCAGGAGGCAGAGGCAGGAGAATCGCTGGAACCGGGGAAGGCAGTGGTTTGCAGTGAACCGAGATCGTGCCACTGCACTCCATCCTGGGCAACAGAGCAAGACTCTGTCTCAAAAAAAAAAGGCAGGATCTCAGGCCCCACCCCGATTTACAAAATCAGAACTGCATTTTAATACGATCCGCAGATAATTCATATGCACAGTCAAGTTTAAGGAGGAGGATCTTGCTTGTAAGCTCAATGTGGACCTCTTCAGCTTCAATACTGGTTGCCCCTTTCTACTCCGTTAGTCTGAATTCTAGCCCCTGGGGTGTTGTGTGTGTGTCTGACTAAAATCCAGCCATCGTTTTAGACCCAATTCCTCTGCTCCAGGAAGACTTCCAAGCCTTCTGCAGCTCTCTGTTACCACTGTTCCTTGAACTCCCACATCTCTGACTGAAGCTGCTTAGACTTCATTCTGCAAACATGTATTGGGTGCCTGCTGTGTGCCTGGCTGGATTCAGTGCCAGGGTGGGGCGAAAGCGCTGAGGTCTCCGAGTGCTCTTTCAGGTCCAACTCCAGAACCGCCCAGCCCCACGCAATCCAGGGCCGGAGGTTGTGTGCGCAGCACTCGAATATACCCACAGACAGTGCTGCGCGGCTTTTCTAAGTGTTACGGCACCCTCCTGTCGCCCGCGCGGCGCGCGGGCGGGGACCCACCGGTTTTGCTCCGCTTTAGCAGCGGCGAAGGGAGGACCCCCGCGAGCCGGTCCCTGGCGTCCGGTTTCCCAGCCCTTTTCAGGCTTGGGCCCGCATGGAGGGAACCGTGGAGTCCCAGACGCCTGACCTGCGGGATGTGGAGGGTAAGGTGGGCAGGAAGACCCCTGAAGGGCTGCTCCGTGGGCTGCGAGGCGAGTGTGACCTAGGAACCTCTGGCGCCCTGCTGCTCCCAGGGACGCCTAGCACCGGCCACGACTTGGGGGACAAGATCATGGCGCTGAAGATGGAGCTGGTGAGTGCAGACTCCATGGGCCAAGGGGACGAGTCCCCAGTTTAGGGCCAGGAGGGACGAACTCATGCTCCCAGAGTTAAGCTGGAGAGGAGGTAGTTAAAACTCTCCACCTAACTGCTCAGAATCCTTCCCAGATCAATCTGTAAACGCTGGGGTGGAGATGGAGTGACATCCATTAATTGTCCCCCAAGAGTGAGTGGGGGTGTTGATAGGTCCTGAGGAATTGGGGTGGGAGCCGTGGGTTTTGGAAGTTATTCCTGCCAAATAATTGGGAGGAGAGAGATGAGGACTGGGAAGTACTGAGAACCCAACGCAGCACAAATTCCCCCCGCCCGTATGGGCCACCTATTCCCCCCTAGTCCCCGTTGTAAGGCAACCGGTTTTTTCTCCTTCTGCTAACCGGGAAAGCGTTTAGTTCCTGTGAGGCCCGCAGTGTTCAGCACAGAAAAGATGTGGGTAAAGGGGCCTATCTGCTGTAAACTGTCTGGACCAGGGGCACTGAAAACCTTCTCCATTTCCTCTACATCCCCCAGCCCTACTTAAAATAATGGAAAGTTCCTAGACCCATAGCAGGAACAGAGAGTAACAGCACCATTGGTGCTGATTCCCTCACCTCAGACTCAGTCTCCTCCCACCCAATCTCCCAGGTAAACTGGATATTTGGATCTCATCTGCACATTCTTGGGGAGAAGAGGAAACAGCAACCTTCCCCTTTCTCTGTTGCTGCTGGTCTAGATTCAGAGCCAAAAGGGCAGCCAAGGCCCTGGCAGGTTCCTCAGGGCCCTGATTCCGGTGAAGTGGGTGATTTACACCTGCCACTACTTTGCAGCCAGTTCTGGGGAACTGAGGAATTGCTATCAGCTTCCTGGCTTACAACCAGGAGCCCACAGTGAATATGTCAGCTAATAAGTCTTTCTGGACCCCCACTGTGTGCGCAGCCTGTGCCAAGCTGGTCTGTGAAGGAGCAGGGGAAGGAAGTCATGGGGGCTCTTAGACCAGCCAGGGCTCTAATGCCTGAGCTGAGAGACTGGGAAGAGAGTCTGGTGGGTGGAGCAGCCAGGAAAGGCCCTCTGGGAGAAGGACTTGAATGTCAAGTGTGCACTTGGCCTTGAAGGTTGGAGGTGAGTGCCAAATTCTCCAGAGCAAGGCTGTGACTGTCCCCACCTAAGCAGGGGTTTGCCTTTGTCTCGCTGTACAAACTTTAGCTCAAGGCCTAGTAAGAGCCTACCTAGACTGTCTAGTTGCTTTGAAAACTAACTTTCACCCAGCACATGTGCCAGGCAGCTTGCTGAGCACTTTACTTGATACTCTCTTCATCTCCACAGTAACCATGTTAAGTAAGTGATATTTTATAGATGAAGAAACTGAGGCACAGGGTGGGCATGGTGGCTCACGCCTGTAATCCCAGCACTTTGGGAGGCCGAGGCAGGCAGATCGCTTGAGCCCAGGAGTTTGAGACCAGCCTGGGCAACAAAGCAAGACTCTGTCTCTGCAAAAATTAGATGGGTGTTGTGGTGCATGCCTGTAGTCCCAGCTACTCTGGAGGCAGAGGCAGGGGGATCACTTGAGCCCAGGAAGAGGAGGTTGCAGTGAGCTGAAATCGCACCACTGCACTCCAGACTGGGTGACAGAGCTCAGAGCTAGACCCTGTCTCAAAAAAAGAGAGAGAAGGAGGGAAGGAAGAGAAGAAGGGAGGAAGGGAGGGAGGGAGGATAAAAGAAAAGAAAAGAAAACAGAGGCACAGGGAGTTTAATAACTGCCCAAGATCACACAAAAAGCACGGCCATGATTTGAACCCAGATCATCTGACTGCACTTTGCATCTTTACCTTTGAGACCTGCTTTGTGCCAGATAGTCTAAACACATTTTATGTCATTGAAATGAGAAAACTGGTCATCATTTCTCCCATCTTACAGATAAAACATGCTTGCAGATTCTGAACTCACATAGGGAGTCAGTGGAAGAGCCACGCCTAGTCTCTCTGGCTCTCTTTTCTGCCTTGGTGGAAACGATCTGTAAATTTTAAGGGGCTGCATTTAACTTTTGATTTTGTCTCTCTGTATTCTTGACCCTGCTTGCCTGGGGCCTGAGGCTGCCCGAGAAAGGGCACAAGGGAGGGAGCCTTCTGGGGCCAGAACGAGGAGAGATCCCCATCCTATTTTTCTCCCTCCTCAGGACAGGATGTTATTAATATTAATCTCTTCCTGTGCTCTGCCCTGCCTACTGGGTTGCACCCAGGAAGGACAAGCAGTGGGGCAAGGGGTTTCCCTTGGGGCTAATGAAGGCAGGACTGGTTCAAGCCCTCTAAGGACTGTCCTTCAATTGTTCCTCTCCCAGCTTTCCTTGCACAAAGCGGGGAGGCCTACCCTTGAGGCCAAGGTCAATCCGTCTCTAGGCCTCATCCCTCCTGCTTTCTTCCTCTACCCACCATTCAAAGGTTGAGTGAACAAGCCAGACTGGGATATGTGGGAATGGGAAACAGTGGCAACCTCTTCTTAGTTCTCCCACCCAAAGAACTGTTGCTATGACAACCCACCTCCACAGAGGCAGTTTGAGAAGAAGCTTTAGGCGAGGAAGAAGGCACGGGTTCAAGTCTTGGCTCTGCTTCTGAAACGTTTTGTGGTCTTGAGCAGTACTCTCTCTCTCTCCTGGCCTCAGTTTTTCTTCCTCTTGGTGGAGGGAGTAGAGGGAGATGGGGACTGTGGAACCAGATGATCGTAAGAACCTTTGTAGTAACAATATTCTGATAGTCCCTGCTCTAGGAGCTCCAACTAGGATTTCCAGGCTTTTACCCCAGGGCCTGATTTGGATTGAGCAATGAGGAAACCATACAGAACCCCAGCGCTGGGCAGAGTCTGATATGTAGATGTTAAGGAGAGGAGTAGGGAGCCTGAATCTCCTTGGAAGGAGAATTGGGTTTGGAGTTGCCTCTGAGGCTGCCTCTCTCCTGAGCTGTTTATCCTATACTCTATTTTCTTCAAGAGATGGTGTGAAAAGAGTGTTTCTTTTTCTGGCAAGAAAGCCTTGCTTTCTTCTATTCTGGGAGTGATGCTGTCACAGTCAGGGAATCCCACTGTCACAGGATTATAGAATCTGCTCTCAGATTCATTTCCCAGCAACACAGTACAACCCAGACCCCTGAATCCTGGGAACCATCAAAGGGATCAAGGATAGTAAAGGCAAGAGAATCACAGAACTGAATGTGACCTCCTTAGCCCTAGGCCGAGCACCAGAAATGGATTGAGCAGGATCTGCTCTCAGGGAGCTCACAGTCTGGTTAGGGAAGGAGAGAGACAGAAGAACATTTCTAGTACAGGATGATAAGAGATGGTAGAACCCAGGAAGGGCCTCCTGGAAGAGTCTTGACGGTAGAGTGATGCGGTTGGGTTTGTGACTTCAGACTGGAAGGAGGCACAGGCCGTTTCCTCTGCTTGACATGCTTCTCTCTACCTCTTTGTCTGTCTGAGTCCTTTTTTTTTTTTTTTTTTTGACACAGGATTTCACTCCCATCATCCAGGCTGGAATGCAGTGGCACAATGTCGGTTCACTGCAACCTCTGCCTTCCAAGCTCAAGCAATTCTCCTGCCTCAACCTCCTGAGTAGCTGGGACTATGGGCATGTGCCACCACACCCAGCTAACTTTTGTATTTTCAGTAGAGACGGGATTTTGCCATGTTGGCCAGGCTACTTTGGAAGCCCTGACCTCAAGTGATTTCTGCCTCAGCTGCCCAAAGTGCTGGGATTACAGGTGTGAGTCACTGCGCCCATCCTAGCTGAGTCCTTCTTAACCTTCAGTTTTCGGCTCATGTCCCTTATCCTAGGAAGCATTTCCTGACCCGGTTAGGTTATGGCCCTCTAGGTGTCTACAGTCCTATGTGTAGCAGTTGTTTCCCCTAGCATTTGCCACACTGAACTTTTCATTTTAAAATTATTTATTTATTTGTTTGGTTTGACATGGAGTTTCATTCTTGGCGTCTAGGCTGGAGTGCAATGGCGTGATCTCGGCTCACTGCAACTTCCGCCTCCTGGGTTCAAGTGAGTCTCCTGCCTCAGCCTCCCGAGTGGCTGGGATTACAGGCACCTGCCTAGCTAATTTTTGTATTTTTAGTAGAGATGGGGTTAGACCATGTTGGCCAGGCTGGTCTTGAACTCCTGACCTCAAGTGATCCACCTGCCTCGGCCTCCCAAAGTGCTGGGATT